GTATTTTACTAGACATACCCGGAAAAATACAACAAACTGTTTTTCTGAGCAAAGCAAATTGAAAAATGCTCTGTGGCAAACAAACATTTATGATACTAACATCTTATGTTTAGCAGGATAATCTCCCCATATTAACACCCTTTATGATTTTTCAATGCTAACACCTTCCTGAACCACTCTTCTGGAACAACACTAATCAGAGTGAAATATGAATTTAATCCATGTTGATAAACTGCCTGTTAATATGTACCTCATGTTCATCCAGGTTCAGGGTGGTGGTGCGCAGTCTGGCAGCGTTCCTGTCCATCCAGGTGCCGTCAGAGACCGAGCTTCGACTCCAACCCACCGGTGACCTGCAGCTCTCTGCGAAAGCACAGCAAGTATGCAACAAAACTGCAAACACAGTGTTTCCGATTTATAGTCTGCAATTACCTCCTAAAAATACCTCCGTCTTTTTCCCTGGATGTAGATGCTGGGGGTGTTGGAGGCCATGCCCAGCAATAAGCAGTATGCAGAGTTAGAGGACTCTGTGAATAAAGCTGTCCAGTTCATCCGCTACCCAGGACACTGTCTCAGAGACGGACCCCGCCTGCTGGCCCTGCTCGCCAACCTGCTTTACCCGGACCTCAGATATCTGCACATTATCCGTTAACCTTGATTTGACCCTAACACTCATCCTGGAGGGCCGAGAGGAAGTTTGTCTCCTGTGGAAAATACAGTGACCTCTGATCTGCACAGAGAAGATTTTTCCTGAGAACAAAGTTTTCAAGCAATGACATTGAATTGCTGTTGCTTTTATATCAGCAAAAGCCTTGTGACTCATCAGCGAGAGCTTTTGTGAGACAGATGCTGACTGCATTTGAGAAAAATACTTGGTGATGAAGGTTGAAACCAGTCGGAGGCATAAGAAAATGTTATGTGCTAATCTCTTATCCTTACTCACACTTTGCTTTCTTCCCTCATGTTTATGCCTTGTTACTTTCTAAATAACTTGCCTGTTGGTTTGCAACACATCTGTTTTATTCTTGATTTTAGAGAAAGTTGCACATATTTATTGAAGCAGAATTCATTAATCAGAATTCCTCGCTGGGCTTTAGGAGTGAGTAAAATAGTTGAAGGGTCCACAGATATTTTAGAAGAGATTAAATGACAGATCTAATAGGCCTAACATCTAGTAGTACCTTTTAAAAAATGGGGGGACATACCAGGAAATCTGGGGGTTAAATGCCTGATACATCTCAGCTGTTAATGCTAGCATCTAGCTAAAAGCTACAATCTGAAATCTCTCGATCCTAGATGCTGAACACAGGTGATAATGTTTAGTTACAGAGCATTTGCCAGTATTATGTTTCCGTCCAGCCACAAGTGCTTTCCTTGTTTCTGCCAAAGAGATGTTATTTTCATTTGCTCAGCTACTTAAAACGTCTTGACCGTGCACTCTGGTTGTTTCATCTGTCTCAGTTGGATACAAAAACTGCAGTCTGAATGGGCACATGCTATATAAGTACCACTTACAATGCCCCGCACTACTTTGCTTCCTTATAAAGTAGTGTGTGCTCTGTTACACAAATTACTGATGCTGTTGGTATTACTGAGAGCAGGGGTGTCACGTTGTTGGAGGTACTATGTAACTGGACTTATATACACAAATGTTTGGGTAATTTAAGGCAGATAATTCCGTTTTTTCCGACCTCCATACTGTACATCCAACAATATTCACATTTTAATTACTCTTCTCAGCTCACCACTTCTGTTGCTCTGTGCCATCTCAGTAATAATCGTGCTGCACTTGTGCGGCCTGAAGCCCGCCTTATTGCCTGTGTTATGTGGTGACTCTTAATGTCAGAAGAATTTCTTTTTTTATGAGTCAGTAAGCAGGAATGGGTCTGTAGGGCTGCTGGAGGAGGGAGCTACATACAGTAGCTGGGCTGCACAAAGGAGACGGGAATATGTTCAATAAAGAGAACTGAATGTCTCGGCTGTTATTTATTAACTCAACACAGCAATCGAGGAACATGTGTAGTACATCGAGCCTCTGAGAGCAGAAAGACTGATCCCGCTGACACGTCACGTAACTGTTTTATGAATTGAGCTGTTAAGAATAAGTGAGAGAGACAAAAGGTCCAGACGGCAATACAGGACACAATGTGCACAACAAACCTGACATAACGCTGCAGATGGTCAAACTGAGAATAAAGCTTCCTTGTCTCAAAGACGAGCGTGTGCTGTGTGTTTGTAATTTAACTGTCGTCAGCATCCTGTTGTTCTCTCTCTGTGAAGGTACAGCACGTCTTCAGTTGAAAGAAGATTGTTAAGGGGGGGGGTCTGGGTCTGTAAATTGTGCACAAAAACATCCAGCGTCCTCATTTAAACACCAACCCAACTGTCTGGGTGAACCTCTCTTCAGGCAACTGTGGTCTCTATGGTTACAGGAGGGGTATAAGTGAGAGAGGAGGTGGAGAGGACGGGTTGTTCCGAGGCTGTGAGAGAGGAGGTGGGAGATGCTTACAGACACTTACGACTGGCTATTTTTCACTCAAAAACAGCCTCTGGTGTATTCTGTGAACCCCCCCCCCCTCTATCTCCTTTTGCAACTTAATTAACCTTCTGTTCTCTCGGCTCAGGTGGTGAAGTACAGTGGAGGCAATGTTTACGTGACAGCTTGCTCCCAAAGCCTCACCTAATTTTTTCTCTCACACACAAACACACACACACACACACCCATATAGGACCCTTTGCTGAGACCGGGTATTCCTGGCAGACACATCCCTGTCTGGCAGATTCCCATGTCACCATGGAAACCTAGCATCAGTTGTTCCTAGACAATCAGAGCAGCACGTGGTGGATCCGCTCCCCTCGGTCATCATTGGCAATAAGGCAGCAGACTTTAAACAAACACGCTGTGCGGACTGCAGAAACACAATTATAGTCTCAGAAATCTGACAAGTTATGCAAGACCTGCCGACAGTAATGAGAAGGTTTATTGTATAATATGTGATGCGGTGGAGAGTCGCTAAGTGCATTTCTAAAGTACTATGCACATTTGAAGCACTTGTATTTTACTTGTCAATTTTCTTTTAATGCCACTTAAGCCTCTCTTACCTCCTTTGTAGTTTTTTTATAATTATCCAACAGCTTAAGTTACTAGTTTCTTTTAGCTCATAAAACTGTTTTGTTATTAATAATGCGAAAACATTTCATGGCTTGAAACATGAAGATTTGGTGCTTTTCCTTTATATTATTTTAAATTTGGAGCTGTCATATGATTTGTTTAATACTTATTACAAACCAAACAAACCTTTAATCCAAAAGTAATCAGCCAATTAAGTATGAAAATAATAAGTAGCTGCACTTTTATACAAATGGCCAAAGACTTGTAAAACTGCAAAGGTAAAATGTTGATTTTACATTGATGCATGAGTAATTATAACTGAGTATATAATAGTGTATATCTAGGTTTTTTTTTTACTTTTCAGTAAATGTTCTTGAATATACTTACATTTTGCCAAAGTAATATTCCCAATGTCTATTTCCTTGTCCCTGTTACATAGTATTTTTACATTGTGGTATTAGTACTTAGTTATAGTAGTAGTATTAGTATACACTTGGCACAGTCGGTGCATATTTCCCTAAGTGCATTGCATTTGATTTCAACATGTCCCAGTGTCCCGAACAGAAGGCCCTCATGGACAACACTCCTGCTGACCAGTTGCTCTGCTGGGACAGCTGCACTGGCCTGAAGACCCTCCCTGAAGCCCAAACACACTCTCAGCTGGACACACAGGAATGTCTGTCTCTATGTCCTTGCATTGTTTTCAATGTTTAGTGTGTGAGAGTACATGCATATGTGTGTCTGAGAACAAGTGTTTATTTGTGTGTGTCTGACAGGCTCCTCCAATTGAGACACCCACTTTTCTTGCACCTCCTCGCCACTCCGGTGGTGAAGGATGACTCAGGCTTAAATGAGTCTTTCTTTCTTTCCTTCTTTCTATCACATTGACCCAGCAGAACAGAAGCACTTCACCACTTCGCCCCACTGAGTACCTACTTATCGGTAAAAGTCATCAATAATGACTCAGACCTGGTGTTATGTTTGATTTTTAGAAAGCTTGGTAGGCTGTTATTTAATCTGTAATGTATGGCCTTCAGGATAAAAGTCAATGTTGGTTTATATCTGGATTGTGGGCATGAAGTAGAGGTTGGGGTTCCTGTTGAAAGTATAGTTAGGTTAAGGTGTAGTTGTATTAAGGTGAATAAGTGGGAGATCCAGTCAAATCATACCAGTGAAAGCGGAAAACTGACCCAGAAATCCTGTAGCTCCAACCTTACAACTGGTTTTTAATAGTTTAATTGAATACGTGTTGGTGTTTACCCCAGGACCAGGTTTCCCTATAGCATTATCCTGCATGGGTCAAGTTTTAGGGTTAGCTGGGTCATTTTGATGTTCACATTGGAGATCATTTTAAGATTGAAGGAAGTCATCGTGGGTGTGGTTTTAGGTCAGGACATTAAAGTGGATGAACTTGTTAAAGTTGGTGTGAACTTTAGGGTCTGGTGTCAGTGAAAGTAGGATGTTCTTTACAAAGATAAAAGATCAAAAATGATGAGTGTAGGGAGTCATCACATGACTCAGCAGCGTTTATACCAACCCAGGCACGACCACACGATCACGCACTTTGCTTTTTTTTATCAGGTGATTGCTTTTCTGTCGTTTATCAGGACTCTCTCTGTATCTCTCTCTCGCTATCTAAATATGACTCTGTTTCTCTGAACAGTGAAGCCCTGCCTCTTACATGCCTGTTCAGACTGGTACATCAATGAGGGAATTAAAGCAATGCAGCTGCTCATAATTCAAATTGTTTAATCAAACTTAAGTGTAACTCTCAGTGTGAGTGCTGAGCCGGTGTGTGAGCAGATCCTGAACAAAGAGCTGGCTGCTGCTGGTGGAGAGGGCTGGGTTTGCTCTCCAGACTGCTAAGGGATTTTTTTAGACTCTCAGACGGGACCATCGGACACAAGGCAGGGCTCGGTAAGGAAACCAAAACATGTAAAATATATTTGTACTAATTAATCCGTTCAGATTTCAGTCCCGATATGTTGGAAGGGCGAAGATCATGATCATAGGGAATATAAAGGATTGGAAGTGTTACCTCGATAAATAAGTTAATTGACAATGTAATCGATTTATGACTGAAACACATTAGGAACTTTCCCCCCCATTGGATTTCCCTTTGAATCCCGATGGTAGCCCGGTGGTTTCGGTCCTATTTCCAGTCGGTGTGTGATGGATGTGGGTTTATGGCAGGCGGGCTGGGCAGTTGTCCGAGGTTTTCCACTGAAACGTCAGATGTTTGCTCACCGGTTATTTCAGAGACTGTGATCCTCCCGGCGTCCTGACGTCAATTTATAAGGACCAGCAGTGCCGGGCGGCAGCAGAAACAGCAGAGAGGAGCGGGACCATGTCGGTGTGATATTCTTCATTTATTGCTGAGCATTCGGGTAGGATTATCTCTGTTTTCCATTGCTTTCTTTTCTTTCTTTTCCCTGTAATCTCGTGGTGAGCCTGACTTTCTCTCATTAATATTCCCTTTCGTTGTATGGGTAATTATGGTAAATGATCTATACTATACTATAGTACAACTATACTAGGGTTTATTGGTCGGTTAACCCAAATAGTTGGTGTAAATGATGGTATGAATTATTGGTGTGAATTGTCGGAGTTTAAGACTGTGGGCTCTTTCTTTGTATAGCGCACCGGTATCTCTTTGTCTGAAATCATACAGACAATACTATCATAGCGTTTTATGTAACCAGGCTTTTCCGTCCACTTCTGGTGAACAGAGGATCAGTGTGTGCTGCTCCGAGGCTCCGCAGTGAAGGTGTTTGTCTGACACGTTGTGTCTCCAGCTGGCAGCAGATCTGGGATCAGCCAGAAGCCAAGTCATTTCTATTTATTGCACAAAATCAGATTTCAAAATAAGTGCATTTTAAATAAATCAAAGTAGGTGTTAATAGCTAACCTGCTGGTCCGAGCTGATATGGAGATCCTCTTCATAAAGCAGATAAAGGGGATTCCTCTGCAACACATCCCCATAGCAACAGATAGTAAAACCAACAATGGAGCTGAAGATTAATCCATTCATCAAATAGTTGTCAACTATTACTATAAACGTAACACATTTTGATAATTGATTAATTGCCAAGAGTCATTTTTTAAGAAAAGAAAATGTTTAAATTACCTAATTCCCTCTTCTTTAATGTGAGTACTTTCTGGATAGTTTACTCCTTTATGACAGTTAACTATGTCTTCGTGTTGAGGATGTCGTCTTGGGCTTTGAGTTGAATTTTCACCATCATCTGACAATTTATAGACCAAAAGGTGAATCGACATGAGATATAGCACTCAGTGTTCCCAAATCTAACTATTGCCAAATAGATTTCACAGTAAAGCTCTGAAGATGGAGATAGGACATTATGCTGCTAATCTGTCCAGCATCTTCTGTGAAAAGTGTTATAAAACTCTGACAGTAGCCTGGTATCTCTCACCAGTGACTGACCACAGCCTGAGCTGAAGAGGGGGGTCCCAATCCCGACAGTGTGTGCAGCAATGGGAAAGGACTACTACAAGACCCTGGGCATCTCCAAGGGCTCCAACGAGGATGAGATCAAGAAGGCCTACCGACGCATGGCCCTGCGCTTCCACCCCGACAAGAACAAGGACGCCAACGCAGAGGAGAAGTTCAAGGAGATCGCAGAGGCCTATGAGGTACTCAGCGACCACAAGAAGAGGGTGGTCTATGATCAGCTAGGAGAGGAAGGTGAGTAGGGGGCAGGGGGGGTTCATGTCTGGGTTTGATCTTGTCTGTCTGTGTATGATCACAGACTGAAAGCGGTCAGAGAGTGCAGGCCTTGTTATACAGGCGTTATGATGTATTAAGTTGTTATTAAAATAGCTCAGGAACAGCATGTTATATCATAGTAAAGGGCTTTGGGGGGAGGGGAGGGGGGTCAATCACTCAAGTAATGATACTGTGTTCTTCCATGCTTTCTTGTAAGTGTGTGTATGTGCTGAAACGTGTGTGTGATTGTTGTCTTCAGTGTCAACAACACTTACTAGCTCTAATACCTCATAGTCTACCTCAGCTGCTAGTGTAGTGTAGTGTAGTGTGTGTGTGTGTGTGTGTGTGTGTGTGTGTGTGTGTGTGTGTGTGTGTGTGTGTGTGTGTGTGTGTGTGTGTGTGTGTGTGTGTGTGTGTGTGTGTGTGTGTGTGTGTGTGTGTGTGCGCGTGCGTGCGTGCGTGTGTGTGTGTGTGAGAGCTGACAGACAGATGGCTTAAGATCATTACGTGGTTGAGTTATGAATAGCGGCGGCTGCTGAACATTTGTGGGTGTTTCATGCATGTGTGTCTCTGTTGAAAAGGTGTGTGGGTGTTGGATGGAGTGACCTGGTATTTGATGAATTCCTCCACCACCACCAGGGCTGTGTGCAGATCACTGATGCTGTGGGATTTACCTGCCCACGTGGGCTGTGCTCTTCTCTGTGCTCTTACCCACACAAAGTATTTTCTGAACACGGTCCTGTGTCTGGTCTCTGACTTCATTTTGATGTGTGTTTTTCAGCATGTTGGGTGTTTTGCACGTCTCACGTTCCTCTCTCTCCTATTTCTTTCAGGTTTGAGGAATGGCGGCAGCAACACTTCAGGTGTTCCTGGCAGCTCAACGTACCACTACACCTTCCATGGAGACCCACACGCCACCTTCGCCTCCTTTTTTGGCGGCTCCAACCCCTTCGACATGTTTTTTGGCTCCAACCGCAGCCACAGCCGCTCCAACGGTTTCTCCTTTCACAACGACCACGACGCAGAGCATGACATGGACATGGAAGAGGAAGACCCCTTCGCTCATATCGGGAGGCAGTTCGGCTTCCCAGCGGGGGTGAACAACGGCTTCCCAGGAGAGGGTCGCAGGAGGCGGGGGGTGCACTCAGAGCGCCTGGGGACAGGGCGAAAGCATCAGGACCCCCCGGTGGTCCACGAGCTGAAGGTCTCGCTGGAAGAGATCTTCCACGGCTGCACGAAGCGAATGAAGATCACGCGGCGCAGGCTGAACCCGGACGGCCGCAGCATGAGGACAGAGGACAAGATCCTCAACATTATCATCAAGAAGGGATGGAAGGAGGGGACCAAGATCACCTTCCCCAAGGAGGGGGACGAGACCCCTGAGAACATTCCCGCCGACATAGCCTTTGTGCTGAAAGACAAAGGGCACGTCCACTTGAAGAGAGACGGTTCCAATATCATTTTTAACTGCAAGATCACTCTAAAAGAGGTGCGTTTTCATCCATCATCCCTCTCTTTTGTGCCTCTGCTCATCTGTCTATCTGTAGTGCTCTCTCTTTGTCTCAGTGCATGCAAATTAGTAGATAATGTTGCTGAGGTTGGAAGTTTGATTCCCAGTAGAGCAAACCAGACGGAGAAGTGAATGCATTCACCGGGGTGCAAAGGCTTGGATGAAAATCTAAAAATGGCACTCCTTTTCTTTGTATCATTCATGTCATATTATTATTTCTCGGGTAGGTGGATATACATGTCATGTTAAGGAGGGAGTGTGCATGTGTGTGTGTGTTGCTGAAGCCAGGATCAGTGAGCGGCAGAGTCTCTGTCGCTGCAGTGTGAGAGGAGCAGCAGAATGTGATGTCCTTGTGTGACCGGCACAGAGCCATCGTCCTCACTTGTTCTGCACTGCTGTATGAATTAATATCCATAAACGCACATGCAGGCAGGCATAACAAAACTACACACAGGCATACACATCCACTTAGGCGCACACTCTCTTGCATCTTCAAGGGTATTTGCAAACACACTCGGTTGTTAAAGATTAATTGCAGTGTGACAGTGGTGACAATCCAGGCTGCTATTAATGTGACTGGCAGGACATTTAATTAGCCGCTCCTACGGGGGCATCGGGTCCAGCTCTGCTCTGTCTGTGAATTACACAAGCTTTAATGTTTCTAATAGCGCCTGCGCTTCACATGGCTGGCTTAATGGCAGGTGTTCTCAAAGATGTCAGGGGAGTAGTTTGTTCTCCACTCAAACCAATTTTGAACATTTTCCCTCTAAAAGCAGCTCCGACTCCATGAGGTAATTCAATGGTAAACAAGGGTCCCTGCACGTCATGAAGACAGTCTATTTAATGAGAGCACAGTGCCGTTTATGAAGTCGCACTAAGCAGGAGATGGCTCTTGAACAAACCCACAACGATTACGTTTGCACTGCAGAAGTCCCACAGCTAAGTCCTCTGCTCTTATGGCAGCCAGATAAGAGACTTAATTCTGATGCAGCTAAAGACAGGATGGGGGAGAGAAGTGGAGCTGAGAATAAGGGTGGAGGGGCTATCTTGGGAATATTAGGGAAGTGGGTCAGATGATTCAGTAAGCAAATAAGAGCTCATATTCCTCTGCTCCACTCTGCTTCCCTGAAGATGTGATTCAGGGTAAGCAGAGCAACGGCAACATGCTGCACACAGGCCATATATAATGTTGCAGATGTTATGCAATGCACCCGTATATATAATAAACCAGGCCAACAAGATGATTGTTTCCAATCAATGCCCATTCTAAACAACAACAGCAGTGGTTATTGTGCAGTCTATAGTCTCATTTCGCCCCCTGTATGAGTCACCATGCTCAGGTTTGTTTACAGCCTGAAGCATGTCCCGGTGAGCAGTTTTTATTTAGTGCCGCCAAGCTCATTTGACCTCGCTGTAAACTCCTTGGAGACTCTGCTTTGCTAGAGGCAGCCCTGCGATGTCTTCACCTTGACAGCAGTCAGAAGCAGTTAGAGAGCTTAGCAGGAATTTGACACATTGATTTCATTGAGATCTATATAGACCTATAGACCTATATTTGGATCTTTCTGCCGTTAATGGTCCCTCTGCAGTGTGTTGGTATCATCTGTGACCGTGCATGTCTAGCTCCTGTCACTCTGCACTCAGCTCGGCAGCGAAAACCCACGTCCAAAACACACGTAGGTGCTAACTGTAGCTGTGAGGCTCTAAAGGCAAAGTGGGCCATTTACAGCAACACTTCTGATATCAATTAAAAAGGCAAGTATTCAGTTTATCCGTGATGGTAGAATATGTTCAGTCAGTGGGAGTGAGGAAGCATGTGCATATTTTAGCAATTGTTATGCAAATACTTAAACACAGCAGAAGCTGAATAGACGGCCCACAGCTTTGCTTATTATTTTCTCCATCAATAATTTGTTTTATAATATGTCAGGAAATAGTGAAATATATCCACCGCAGTTTGTCAAAGTCCACGTTGATGTCTTTAAATGTCTTGTTTTTTCAGTCCAAAACAAAAAGATATTCAGTTTAATGTTATGTAAAGCAGAGAAAAGCAGGAATTCTTGATCATTTAGAAGCCGTTTTTGCTTGAAAAAAAATTAATGGATTATCATAATAGTTGGGGATTATTATCTTCGACTTGAATAGTTCACTAATGAAGCTTAGTCCACAAACTTTGGATTATGAGTAGACTTTTAACGAGTCCTTTTGGTTAAAAACAGCTGATCATAACTGCCGGGTGCCATGTAAGAAAGATGTTTAACATTAGGATGTGACCCTAAAGGAATGAAGGTCATCTGTAAAAGTATAGCCAATTCAAAGTGTGTGTGTGTGTGTGTTTTGGTGTCTCTAGAGCGGTTGTCTGAGCTCAGGCTTATGTAATCAGTGGGTCCTCATATCAGCTGCCAGCGTCATGGCAACCTGTCTGTGTGTAAGACTTGTGTTCGTGAATGGACGTGTTCATAGCAAGAGGATGAGTCTCCATCACAGTCACAGGCTTACTCACTTATCATGTATGTATCGTGTAAAAGGAGGCTGATGTTATGGCTGGAAAACTCTGTCTGTCCTGAGAAGCAGCTGCTCTGCCCGACTGAACTCCAACTGTTAACACGCCAGACTAGACATAAAACATCTCCAGCAGCTTTGATACAACATTGGTGGCATGACGACAGGGACCTGGTGTGAGAGGTTAAGCATGTGCCAAGCCCGGCAGAATCACTATTACATCATGACAGACTAAATACCTCGGGAGTGTAAAGAGTTGGTATGCTTTGGACTGAGAAGGATACATCAACGACTTAATGAGCTTCATAGCTTGATGAAATGTGTCTTAGACATTAATGAGCAGAACATCTCAACATGAATTCCTCTCTTAATAGAGTATTCAGACTCTTTTGATGTCTTTTTAATTCTCTCCGGTACCACACAAATGCTTTATCTCATCGTTGATCTCATCTCTTACACATGCCATTACCTCTGCCTGAAAGGGATTCATGCTTCCCAGACTAAGGACTTTAGTGATCCCCTAACTTTCCTTTAGCACCACCGTTTGGTGATTTTGCTGAAAAGTCCCAATAACTAGTAAACTATCACCTTCCCCTCTGGATGAATTGTAATCACTTCTCTTTAGTTCATCTGCCTCAGCTGTACCTTGTGTTTTAAATTGAATCAAAGTAATAATCAATCATTGATCATTGGAAAATCTTAACTTGTTCCCATGCTAAATTGGTATGCTAACCAAAGGTCAGACTAACAGCGTATGGTCAGGGTTAGGTTTGTGTGTGTGTGCGTGTGTCTCTCCTTGCCCTGCCAAGCCCATCTGACAAGCCTTCCAACTATTTACGAGCTCAGCCGATTCCTGCCTCACTTCATTAGTCCCGGCTATGAGACCGTTGCTAAAATTAGACCCCTTGTGCAATGTGAAGCCCCTCCAACATTCACACAACTACACACTCACGCACACTTCTACCTACACACAGACACACACACAGACACAGACACACACACACACACACACACACACACACACACACACACACACACACACACACACGCACACACACACACAATGAACAGAACAGACACATGGAAGTTTGAAATGTTCAGATGACATACTGAGAGAAGATAAGCTAAAGTCTTGAGTTCATGGAAACATGAAGTCATTGAGATATTCACGGCTTTGGCATTTCCTTCCTACTCAAAATGTTAACCGCACTGCTCTTTTACTTTTAACCCAGATATACTGTGCATATCTTACTATTCCTTCATAGTAATTTGTCATATTCTTGTTGTGTTTCCTTTTTTTCAATTGTTATGGGTTTTTAAAAACATTTTTATAATAGATTTTTCAACTGTTTTTATTTTTTTTATTTGCTTTTATTTAACATTTTATTTGTGGAAACACATAAACCAAAGGAAATTCCTTGTATGTGAAAACCTACTTGGCAAAAAGACAAATTCAGATTTTCATTTGAACCCTCTCCTCTCTTCCTCTCCAGGCGTTGTGTGGCTGCACAGTCAGCATTCCCACGTTGGAAAACCGCATCATCTCGCTCCCGTGTCACGACATCATCAAGCCGGGGACGGTGAAGCGACTCAGAGGGGAAGGCCTGCCGTTCCCAAAGAACCCGTCACAGCGCGGCGACCTCATCGTGGAGTTCTCTGTCCGTTTTCCCGACAGAATTCCCCCTCAGTCCAGAGAGATTATCAGACAACATCTCCCCCAGTCATAGGAGGACTCACCTTTAACCCCCCCATTACCTCACTTGAGACTAAATGACCCAAACCCTAGTTCTCAATTCTGACCCTTATTGTAGTTTCCCTTCCCACTTCCTGATGTCCTCAGTTGACGCACGCAGCTTCAAACAGACGCTGCTGTTTGAAGGGACTTTGCAGTGGGAGGACGACGGAAGAATGCCAAGATGAGTGGCAGAATCAGGATGTAATTATTCATCTTTGTTTTCTTTTCAGGCCCAATCAAACACACACACACACACACACACACACACACACACGCACACGCACACGCACACACACACACACGAGCAGCAGAGTTGTGTTGAGGGTGGGCTCAGCACCATGAGCTGGCTTTCAACACAGTTTTTTTACAGATTTATCAGTGGGTTTTATATGCTGTCCAACTCTCTGATCCTCAACTTTTTGTGATAGGATGAAGCGTGAGATCTTTTTCTTTTTTTAAAATAAACTTTTTTCCAGGGTTTTTCTTTCCGAAGGAAGTTTTAAAGAGGATTATTTATTTTTACCTTGAGTGTACCAGCAGTGTGTTCAGTGCAAACCCCGGTTTTAACTTAACCCCTTCCCCCCTATTTGCCACCTACTAGTTTGTAGGCCATTTTGTTGTCTCCTATAATCAGCTGTGTACTGATGCGTGATTCACTGCGCATTTATAGTACTGCTCTACTCCAAACAATATGAGCGTATCTCAGCTTCATTGGAAAATCTAGGTATGACAATCATGGACAATAACAGCAGTGTAAGCTCGGACAATACAATCTACACATCATATGGGTGCTTTCCCTTCTGAACTGCCTGGCTTGCTATCTGAGGGACATTCAGGTGCCTTAGCACGGTGTCATAACACGTATGTGAACACACATACACACACAATGTTACACTGTAATAAACACAACCAGCACAGACGATGCCCTATGCTGTTTTAGACAATAACAACTGGTGATCTTGGACAACCTTCAGTAAGCAATGTAATGTCAATCACCATATTATACTTTTATGTGAGTGAGGACATTTTTGGAGAGATTTGATGCAAAATTGCTGAAATGTGCCAGTCCTGTTAAGTGCCATACAAGTACAGGTTGGATTTCCCAGAGGAATATATCTGAAGTCCGTAGTACACAGTGGAGCTTTCTCTGGGAAACACAGCTTTATTTATTCTGATTTCTCCTGTGCCATTTGAAGGCCATATCTCGGTGCTACTGGAGGCAGTGCCAATGTAGACCAATTCTGTGTCTACTTGGTTTCATGGTTTTTGATATCTGCTCCTTTCCTCTGTAACATGTGTACATCAAATGTGTTTTGATGTTTAGGAAACAGGCTTTTTTTAACATTGCAGCTGCCGTTCTCTGTCTGAGCTGCAGGGGGGCTCTGATCCTCTCTTCAGCTCTTCCTACTGTACGACAGAGATATGATGTATGTGTGAGAATGGTTTCATGCAGGCAGCAGTAGAAGGTCATATGTCACGTCAATGGGAAAATGTTTGTTGAAACATGTTGATAAATGCACTTTTATGTCATTCAAGACAAATTGACTAACTATGAGATGGTGGGAAAGACTTGAATGACTTGTGTGTGAGCGTCCTGCTGCTCGGGGCCTAGGGGGGTGGGGGGGGGGGGACTTTGGCGACAACAGGAAGCACAAGTGCAGCTGCTGGAAGCCTGCCACTGCTTAGGTGCATTCAATAATATTTATGATCTTTTCAAAATAGCTGCAAATAAACCAAATGTGTGAACTTACAGTGTGTGTCATTTGAGTTTCTCATTCAAGAATGATCACCTCCCTGAGTATGTTAACAGCATGTGCACCTCACATTCTTACATTAATAAGTATGTTAATATGTGTTTACACAACTATAGGGACTTTTGAGGTTCAAGAAATTACTTGTCAGAGTTTATAGATGTTTTATCTTCACAGTCTACTTTATATTTTCTACTTTTTAATGCTGTTTTAATTCTATTTTGTTTAATTTCTAGTATTGTTTATTTCTACTCTTTAATTTCTACTGCCTTGTTTTGTTTTTTTATGCTGCAACGCAAACATTTCCCAATTTGGGATCAATAAAGTACCTCTTATCTTATCTTAAAACAGGATTTGTTTTGAAAATACTTCAAATAAGAGCTTAGGAAACTTTAGCAGTTCCATCTAGGAGAGATTTTCACTCCAAACACCTGACATGGTTTTGTTTGTTTTCTGTGATTCAAAAAGGTAAAGTTGGACATCATGCCGTTAAAGACAAGCCCAAAAAATGTATTAAAAAATGGTGTGTTGCAGAACTTTGTTTTTCGGCTTTTCTGCCTGACGGTGGCTCCTTGAGAGGGGCCCCTGGGTTCAGAGCCAGTGGACCAAAACTGAACTGTATAAACAACTGACCTGTTACAACAGTAAAATGCTGCTTAAACCATGGATGCATCCCTATTAGATCTAATAATGCACCTTATGATAATGTATCAATCACAGGGGCCACTTCTGTGCAGAATAAGTCTAATTAACTGTTGGATTTTCCCAGTAATGCAGTTTTTTTCCATCGTTGTATAAGAACTATCACTATAATAAAGAGTACTTCTTCCACCACAGCTCATTCTCTGTTGCTACAGATATGTCTGGCAGAGATGTTTAGGAATAAAGATGATCATAAACCTTAATAATAACTAGGTTTCTCAACTCAGAATAACATCAGTTGAAAACGAAATGATGTGTGAACGAACTGACAGATCTGCTTTAACCAACAAATGGAGGTAAGAAATTGTTTTAAGAATCTTGTCTGATCAAACATTGCCAATAAATATTTAACTTTCTGTTTTTTGTTGAGCAGAGTTTGGCCATTGTCCACGAGTTTGAGTTACAGATAAACAACGGAGGCAGACTTTGACCTCTGTTCAAATCCAGATGGACAGCTATACCCTCCGCTGATCACCGCTCCGTCTACCAGAGCTATTACAGGTAGGAACTAAAGTCTAAATTTAGACTAACAAACTAAACAAATAGACAATAACTCACTTCATGTTTAATGTAAAGCATTAATGAATTGCATGCTGTCTTTTGATGCTGGGTCAGGAGGCAGGTGATCTGTGTTAACTGACTCGATCATGTGAAACAAATTGTGTGTGTGTGTGTGTGTGTGTGTGTGTGTGTGTGTGTGTGTGTGTGTGTGTGTGTGTGTGTGTGTGTGTGGAATATAGCACACCATTAGCGACCCATTGAAAGGCTGTGAGATGTGCTGCAGTAACACCGCGCTGTGACTAATGCCAAATACCTGAATCATCTATTTCTGGCGATAGGGCAGAGGGTTTATATCTCCACTGAGACACAGAGAGTGGATAGAACAAATAACAAAAAACAGGCCACCAAATGATTTATATTGTTTTGCTGCTGTCTGCTGTGTCTTTTTATATACATGTGTGATGGCTAATGGCTGGAGTGTAGGAACACACAGCCAAAGGTGGGAGAAGTACTCAGATCGTGTACTTAAAGGGGACCTATCATGCGAAATGCACTTTTGTACGTCTTTTATACATGAATATGTGTCCCCGGTGTTCCAGGGAACTCACCAAGTGTCAGAAAACACAACCCTCTCTATTTTCCTCCATACCCAAATCTCTAAAAAAGGGGCTGCAACGGATCTGATAAAAACTGATCCAGATTTGAACACTGTCCTGACGTCAGGACGGTGGCGCTACGGCTATTGGGCCAACTCCACCAATCAGGAGGAGACAGCCACGGCCATTGCCGTTCGAAAGCGCTGGAGACGCTGTAGTACATATGCCAGGCCTGTAGATGGTGCTGTTCTCACTGAATCTGCCCTTGCTAAAACAGATCTAAAAAATGTCAAATTGAGCAAAATGAGGCATGGCTAAAATGCATGATCTGTTTGGTATTTTGAAAAAAAAAAAAGTATAAATATGCCATATATAGGTATGGTCCTACACTATATTATTCAAATATAGCATGATAGGTCCACTTTAAGTAAAAGGAGAAGTACCAGAATGTAGCAATACTCTGTTACAAGTAAAAGTCCTGCATCAAAACGTTACTCAAGTAAAAATACAAAAGTGTTAGCATCAAAATATACTTAAAGTACCAAAAGTAAAAATACTCATTATGCAGATTGGTCAATTTCAGAATAATATCATCATATGTTTTGATTATAATTATTGATGTATTAATGTGTTTATCAAAGCTGGTAAAGGTGCAGCTAGTTTTAAATACTTTGTATACTGCAGGGTAGATTGTGAATTTACTCCAGGTGTGACTAAAGTCTTATTTAAGTGTTGAATATATTTCACATCATTAATCCAAATCTGCAAAGTAACTAAAGGTACTAAATAAATGTAGTGGAATTAAAGTACAAAGTAACAAAAAATGAGAATCCTCAAGTAAGTACAAATACCTCAAAATGATACTTAAGTACAGTACTTGAGTAAATGTACTTAAGTTTCCCTTCACCACTGCACAGCCCCTGCTGAAGTGCAGGAGTTAATGAATTCTGATGTGAGTGATAATCAGTAACAAAGTATTAGTACTTGGTCATGATGACTGGGTCGGTCCCACAGGAGTCGACATGTGAACACCTCACTTCTCTGTCTGTCCCCTTCAGGTCTTCAGGGCTGAAACATGAGCGACTTCTTGACCCTCTCCACGGGGCAGAGGATGCCCGTGGTCGGACTCGGCACATGGAAGAGTGCTCCAGGACAGGTAGGACTATAAAACCCTCACACAGGTATTGAATCACATTTCTGGAAATTGTCATGTGATGAAATAGAGTGTTTCGTCTGTGTCCATGTGTCCTCAGGTGAAGCAGGCCGTGCTGGCAGCGTTGGATTGTGGGTACAGACACATTGACTGTGCTGCTGCGTACGGCAACGAGCAGGAGGTGGGGGGGGCTCTGTCTCTCAGGGTCGGCTCCGGGAAGGTGAGAAAAACTCTGGTTGAGCTTAAATCAGGGGTTGAGTTCATGCTTGACCTTGGAAACAGCAGTTGAAAAAACAAGTGTACCTGAAGATCCACTCACGTGCTTTCTCTGGAGCTTTCAACCAAACAGTGGAGTTTGATTATCTTTGTTGGTAAAGCCCAAAAAGAGTGAACATCATCGTATATATTTAGTTTCTAAGTTATTATGGCTTTGGTAAATCGAGTATAGTAAGTGTTAAGTTCAGGATTAAAGGAATACTTCACCCCTAAAATGATCATTTGTTTCAGTTACTCACCCTGTTTTACCTTGAAATACTAAAGAACTCTCACACTCAACTCAATGATCGAACAAGAACCTAAAAACTGACACAACTCAAATGTATTGACGTAAAAGGGGGTCAAAGTTGAGCAAAACCTAATTAAGTATTTACTCATCATAAACCTCATGAATATCAAAATCAGAGCTGAAACTTGTTCATGCTTTGTTTCCGGTTCAAACGTGTAGCTCAATCCTTCAACTATCAGATATTTCCCTGTATTGAACATATGTCCTCCACCCATGATCCTTCCCCCTCCAGGCTCTGCGTCGTGAGGATGTGTTTGTAACATCCAAACTGTGGAACACCAAGCATGACCCGGAGGATGTGGAGGAGGCCTGCAGGACCAGCCTGGCCCACCTGGGTCTCTCCTACCTGGACCTGTACCTCATGCACTGGCCCATGGCCTTCCAGTGAGCCGCTGCACACACTTCACTGCCTCAGGCTCTGATTGGCTGTCATCGTGTGGATCAGAGTGATATGACATATTTTCATTATGTGGATGTTTCAGGCGGGGGAAGGAGCTGATGCCTCGGAGGGACGATGGAAGTATTTGTTACTCTGACACACACTACAGAGACACCTGGGCAGCCATGGAGAGCCTGGTGGACGAAGGTCTGGTGAAAGCTATCGGACTCTCCAACTTCAACGCCAGGCAGATGGATGACATCATCAGCATGGCCAGACACGCCCCTGTGGTGAACCAGGTACCATCTGGCTCTTATGGTCCAGAATAAATACATTTGATAAAGTTTTTATAGGTTTGAAAACCTTGTTATTGTGCCACAGGTGGAGTGCCATCCTTATTTGTCTCAAGCAGATCTCCTGTCTCACTGTCGGTCAGTATGACACATTTCTTTAAAGTCCATTAAATATTGTTTCATTAAAATGTAACTTTTACTTTATGTCACTTTTTACTTCTACTCCACTACATCTCAGAGAAGTTTATTGTATTTCCTGTAGATACAACTACCCAATATTATATTCAAGAACAACTGGAAAAAAATGGATTAATCAATTAACTGGAAACGATTATAGTTATCTTTTAGTCATTCTTCACAAAAAAAACATATCCCGGCTCCAGCTTCATACATTTTTTAATGATTTCTTTAAATATTCCATCTCATGTATCGGTTTCTAATCTCTAAGAAACCAAACATTACAAAAGGAATTCAGGATTATTATTATTATCAGCTATGTAAGATATACTAGTATAATAGTAACAGTCACATGGGACCTTATTCTGCAATTTTACTTTTAAGTACGATTTCATGATCATATTTCACATTTTAACTTAAAAAACATTGCAATGCATTTTCAAAGCAGGTCTTTTCACAGTGTGGTATTAGTAGTTTAAATTCAGTAAATGATCTCCTTCCTCCACCACTGACAGTAACAGAGCACACACACCTCCTCCTCAGGTCCGTGGCAGTGTGTGTGACGGCCTACAGTCCTCTGGGCAGCGGGGACAGACCCTGGGCCGCTCCAGATGACCGGAGTCTGCTGACGGATCCTCGACTAGCAGCCATCGCACAGAGATATCAGAAAACACCGGCCCAGGTCGTACTCAGGTGAGACAAAGCTTCAACCTCCAAATAACTTGTGAGCTCAAATGTACAAGAGATGATCCCGGGCCTCTTTGCTTTAAAGGTCACCTATTATGCAAAATCCACTTGTTCATGTCTTTTCTACATAAACATGTGTCCCCTCTGTGTAAAGAGATTCTGAAAGATTCGCTCACTTTTTGTCCTGATCCATTTATAAAAACCTGTCTGAAAATGAGTTGATCAGATTTTGGCCACTTTATGATGTCATAACGATTTTTTGGCTTGTGTAACCATTAGCCAATCACCAACCAAGGTAACCCCCCCCCACCTTATCAACTGAATTTCCTCCTAGAGCTCCATTGTGTTATTTTTTTTACCAAATATCTCTCAGAGGGGCGTGGGGAGTGGCTCCTTATTTTCATCTAAAGTAACAGACAGAGTGTTTCTCAATGTCGAGGACGCTTCCTTGGTAGGACATGTCTTCCGAGTCACTTCCTTCAGAAGCGAGGCAAGAATCCTTCCTAGCCTCGGAAAACGAACAATGGTGGAACAGGCTAACAGGTGTGCGTCATATGCGAGGCCCCGCCTTAAATGGAGCGCGATTTCCGTGCGCAAAGCATTGTGGGGATTTTAAGACCGCGGAGGATACACATGTGCAGCCTCGAAATTTCTCGCTACGAAGGACGCCGGGCTTGGTAGAATTCCAAGGAGCCTGGACATTGGAACAGTCCTTCGGCGGGACTCGATGACGTAGCATCCTTGAAATAGTGGCTCTGGAGCATCCTTCCTTGACATTGAGAAACACCCAGAGAATCAGCACTTTTGAAACAGGGCTGAAACAGAGGAGATTATGGGATGCTGCAATAATCTGTTTGGTTTTTTCGAGCCAAACACTTCAGAGACATGTTTTGTGTATATCTGAGACCTATAATATATTGATGAAAAACAGTATAATAGGGGACCTTAAAATCTGTGGTGTCCTGACAGGTGGCATGTTCAGAGAGGCGTGGTGTGCATCCCTAAGAGTGTGACGCCCTCCAGGATCCAGCAGAACCTGCAGGTGCTCGACTTTTCTCTGTCTGCAGACGACATGAAGCTGCTCGAGTCCTTCAACTGCAACCAGCGCCTCATCGTCCCAGCGGTGGAGGTGAGTCACTGAGATGATACTTCACTACATTTTAACAGGAAGGTTTCTCCAAGCAGAGCCCACTTTAACCTTTGACTTTATATACTTGTAACAGCCATCTCAGTCCAAAATTAACTTAAAGCTTGGACTCACAGATGACTCGGCTTGGGTGACACACCTGCCTGTTTTAGATCGTCATGCATCTCAGATATACTCAGGGGAGACTCTTAGCTTGCAAAGCTAAACTTCAGTATTCTTGTTCTAACTCCTTGGCTGCTATAGTTTATTATTTTGTAAACATATATAGCTTTGAGCTGAACTAACCAACTGTTTTTCTTTTTACAGAGGGATGGCAAGAGAGTGTGGAGAGATGCAGAACATCCTCATTTCCCCTTCAATGATCCTTACTGAGGCGACACAAGATAGATGCAATAGTGTTTTTAACATGATTGTCACAATAAAATATGGAAAAAAAATCTATTGTCTAGTTTTTCTGGGATTAATTATAACAATGAAAGCTTAGTGTTCTATAACCTATTCAACTAGTTAAGAACAAGTGACTTCCACTGGCAGAGTGACACTGTGTGGCCGGTGGCAGAACTGCCTCTGTCCAGGGACGAGCGCTGATCACCTGCTTCCTGCTTCAGAGTGAAGACTCTTTCAAAGTAAATCATCACTGAAGGAGCAATGCTCTCCAAACTGATTTACAGTGAGTTATCCCTTTAAAACCCATGTAGAATTAAGTGCACAACTGTTGTGAATTTAATTTATCCTAGTCTACATGTTTCCTTTATGTAACTGCTGTAACTATGACATGTACCATTGTGAAAAATACATAATAAACTCAAATTAAACCATTACCATGTGTGCACACTTTAAAAAACAGATTAATTAATTCACAAGATGATTCAGTCCAATTAATGTTAAACTTTGCCAAAGAGACAAAATGTACAATCAGCTAAAACACGTCAGTTTGCTATCCTGGCTCCAAAATGGTGGAATGAGCTCCCCATTGAAATCAGGACAGCAGAAAGCTTACACATCTTCCGGCGCAGACTGAAAACTCATCTCTTTCGACTCCACTTCGAGCAATAAAATGACTAACAAGGCACTTATATACTAACAAAGGACTGGCTTATCTAAAGCCAGTTGAGTAGCACTTGAAATGTTTTGGCTCTATGTAACCTGATGTACTTATATGATTCTGTTTTCTTCAAGTTTGTATCTTCTTGGTCGAATGCACTTAGAAGTCGCTTTGGATAAAAGCGTCAGCTAAATGCAATGTAATGTAATATGTACAATAAAACCATTTTTATTCATGTGGGGCGCTGAGGATGGAAACAAAGCAAGAATCAAATGAATTCAAAATGATATGAGAAGCACTGAATTATACACGTGTTTCTGATATTTCATTTCTTAAATAAAGGATTTGAACAACCTTAAGATTGAAAACTTAATATGCTAAATCAGTGACGATGCACATGTATCAATAAAGAAGTTTTAGACGCCGATAACACTTCCATTTTGTGAGATTTTATTTTCAACAACATAACTTTGACAAATTTGTAATACATTATATGCTACTGTTTATTTAAAAAAAAAAAAAAGAGTAAGTCATAAGCAATATGTTTTTTTCTTTTCTTTCTTATAGTCTAGCATAGAACCCCGTCACTAAAGCCATTCATGTTGGTTGTGATATACTGACCCCCCCCCCCCGCCCCCCCTAAATTCCCTCCTAAATCTGCCTCAGTCACTCACCTTCCAGATCCAACATCCCCTAACCCCCACCCACATCAAAGCCAGGGCAAACCAAGCGGCTACATGCTTTCTCCAAGGGTAGTCATACAAAAAAAAGGAACACATGAAAGAAGCACAAAGTCCTAAAAATGTGGAATCTGGTGAGAATTTGTACAGGTGTGATCCCGGTACTGACCACTGATGGGCAGTGTACATTTATCCGTAAAGGTCATCGTCGTTGTCTTCATTGAACACTGGGCCGGTGCCAGTTCCTCCTGAGCCTTGGGTTGGCCCGCTGCCGCCTGCAGTGCCGGTGGGAAACCTGGAGGAGGATGAAAAGTCACTTAACATGTGTACTGGGGAAATGATGTTTGATACGGCATCATCAAATATTTAGGAACGTTTTAGCATTTTAAGTGTTTAGTAACAATAATTTGCTGTAGTCAGTGTTTCAGGGAAAACATATTGATTATTTCTAATGCATGTTGTATTTAAGTCTACACAATCAAATCCATACGAAACGTACCTGAAGCTGCCGAAGCCACGGCTCTGCTGCAGTGTCTGAGCAAACATCTCATATTTGCGAATGTCGTTGTCACTGACGGAGCGACGAGCAAATCGCATCGCCTCCTCAAAGTGGTCCTTCCTGATTTCGGGCACAGGATCGTCCTCTTCCACCTCCTACGGAACAAAGTGAAGAAGAAGTTATTACACTGCAGAGACTTACTCTGATCAGTAACACAGCAGTAGAGCAGGTATGATGCGGTTAGCGACAGAACAGGAGCTGACCATGGCTGAGGGGTTGGTCTGCCTCTCCCTCTCTCTGCGGATCTCGTTCTCGATGCTCTCTCTGATAGCCAGCTTACACGCCCGCTGGCAGATCTCGGTCAGATCGGCTCCAGAGAAGCCATTGGTCATCTTTGCCAGGAATTCCAGGTCCACATCCTATTGACACATTTAAAGAAATTGCAAACAGGATAAGTTAAGAAACGTGACACTTTTTTCCTATTCCAAATTATCTCTGAAGTTACATTTAAATCAGGATAATTTCTCTCTTAGCAATGCTCCAACCAGGCAGCATGGTTAGACCGAAATAGCACACGACTTAATGACAGCCAGGGTTCATACACTTTTTCACCAATGATTTTCCAGGACTTCTCCATGACCTTTACCTAATTTTCCATGACCTTTACCTAATTTTCCATGACCAAAAACATTACTCTTTCTCAGCAGTACCACTGAAAATGGTTTATTTTAACATGGAACAGGAAAATAAGGTCTGCATATGAAACATGTTGAGCCTATCTAAAACAAATCAAATAGTAGGCTTACTAGCTTCTACACGCTAAAGCCACTAAAATCTCTCACCAGCAAAATACCTCGTCAGCTAAATGCCATTTTACATTTCATTACTACACAGTATTTATTATCATTATAGTATCACTATTTCGGCGAATAGATAAAATATAAATTATATTTGATGCAACTTTAGTTACATTTCCATGACTTTTCCAGGGCCTGGAATTAGCATTTTGAATTTCCATGACTTTTCCAGGTTTTCAATGACCGTAAGAACCCTGGGCAGCACTGTCACCTTGGCGATGGGGCTCTTGCGGAGGTTGGCCTTCAGGATGTTCATCCGGCTCTTCTCGTCGGGCAGGGGGATGTAGATGAGCTGATCCAGACGGCCGGGTCTCAGGATGGCGGGGTCGATGATGTCTGGTCTGTTTGTGGCTCCGATGATGAAGACGTTCTTCTTGCTGGACATACCGTCCATCTCGGTGAGGATCTGGTTGATGACACGGTCGGCTGCTCCGCCTCCGTCTCCCACGTTGCCTCCACGAGCCTTGGCTATGGAGTCCAGCTCATCAAAGAAGAGAACGCATGGGGCTGCTTGACGAGCCTGGGAACATCACACACAGAACGATCTTAGTTAGACGGGAGCATGGGGGGGGGACGCATTTCATTTCTCTCAGCAGGTTTTATGGCAGACACTCCAAGCACATCCTCACCTTGTCGAAGATCTCTCTGACGTTGGCCTCAGACTCTCCGAACCACATGGTGAGCAGCTCGGGTCCTTTGATGGAGATGAAGTTAGCCTGGCACTCGTTGGCGATGGCTTTAGCCAGAAGGGTCTTACCACAACCAGGGGGACCGTAGAACAGCACGCCCTTGGATGGGGTCATGCCGAACTTGAGGAACTTGTCTGGGTGCTCCACTGGGTACTGAATTTAAAGACGGGGAGAAAAACATAGTAAGGGAAACGCATTTAAATTGACCGTTTTTGATACATTTGACATTTTAAAAGATCTCCATACCTGCACCAACTCCTGCAGCTCCCGCTTGACGTCCTCCAGACCGCCGATGTCCTCCCAGGTGACGTTGGGAACCTCGACAACCGTCTCCCTCAGAGCTGATGGGTTGCTCTGGCTCAGGGCCCACTGCAGGACAACGTTGAGCATGTTAGTGAGGGCTCTGAAGGAACACATGTGCTCTCACTGTAAACTCTACAACAGCTCTTACCTTGAAGTCGTCCATAGTGACAGCAAGTGAGTTCATGACCTCAGCATCAATGGTCTCATCCTCAAGGTCGATCAGGTCCATCTTCTTCCTGATGGCCTGCAGGGCGGCCTCAGAGCACAGAGCAGCCAGATCGGCACCAACATGTCCATGGGTCTCATTGGCAACCTAGAGAAGAACAATATTACTGCCTGTATACGACTGTTGTGCACTCAGATTTAAAGATTGACATTGTATTGAACATTTCAAATACAAAAAGGCACACTGAAGGATGCCACTGCCTTAAAATGATATCAGTCCTTTAAACAAGATATGAAGTAAACCTTTTGACAGTTTAAGACATTTCCCTTTCACTTAAGAGGCAGTGATAATAACCATGCGGCGACTCCTCTCTTCAGAGTGGTGTCACCCGACTGCACAGAATAAAATGGTGTACAAACCTGTTCCAAGTCAACATCGTCAGACAGTTTCATGTTTTTGGTGTGAATCTGGAGAATCTCCAATCTGCCGGTGGCGTCAGGGATGCCAATGTCCACTTCCCTATCGAAGCGCCCTGCGGGTGGTGGAAGATCAAACACTCTCATTTAGTTCCGACTGAAACCGACTTAAAAGCAATAAGACGGTCTGCAGGAATGCATCGTCTTCTCAAATGTTGGGGCAGCAGATGTAACATTTAAGAGCACATCATTTATTAAAAAATAACCATCTAAGATTGTACTAAGTAAGAGTATTTGTCAAGGCTTTCAAAAACATACAGCCCACTAAATATACAGCAGTCAATCATATGACAACATGCTTCAGTGAGCCATACGGGTCCATTAGAGTTACATTATATAAATCTGTCTCAAAAAACAATCTAGGAAATCAGACTATTCTTTTATGAAGAGCTGTTCAGCAATTCAACATCTGTGTACTGTGCAAATACATACAATATTTTGACTAGCTATTAATAGAGTTTGACTAATCAAATAATAAATACATAACCAATAATTGATGAGTTAAACATAACCAGCTGGAATGATGCCAAAACAAAAGGATCCAGGTATAAAAGTGAAATGATATTCTGAACTTTATGCATTGGATGCTTCCTCTAGTTCTACTGCAGTAATTTACCGAATCTCCTGAGAGCTGGGTCGATGCTGTTGGGTCTGTTGGTGGCTGCCATGACGATGACATGAGCCCTTTGTTTCAGGCCGTCCATGAGAGTCAGCAGCTGGG